ATATCAAGTGCACATGTAACCCATGTTTTAAGTATAAGACGTGATAGAAAATTATCTGTTACAGCAAGAAAACCAGCTTCAGCTATATATATATTATCAAATGATGAAGATGTTTCATTAAACCATAAAAATGTTTTTTCTAAAGTAAAACATGATAAATAATGTTCAGGTAATTCACGACATGAAAAACCACGTATAAGATTATCAATAAGTAAATGATCAAATTTTGATGTTTTATAACGAATTGATGTATCACCATAAATAATAGAACCAAAACGTCGTATAGCATCCTAGAAATATGAATATTTTATGCTTTGATTTTTCTAAATATAAATATTTAACCTGAATTACGATTGGTTTCCAAGCAAAAGTACCTAAATTTCGAATATGAGGAGCTACAGATTCGATTCGAGTAAATGGAAATGGAATAATTGTACATCTTTCACAGTTTTCTTTGATCTAGAATAAATTTATAACTTATTAAGTTTTAGTTTTTTTTTTTTTGTTAGAATTGCAATTCATTAAGTTAAGAATGTATATATCGGATGATCAATAATGAATGGTTGGATTTCATCTCTAAATAAGTATTATGAAAAAAAAAAAACAAAATATACCATAAGATGCAGCATGAAAAGCTCTACAATTGTACTTTTTTTTGTTTTTAAAATTAGCAAAATTCTAGAGTGATCAAATTTCGATCGTAGAGAATTTTACTGTTTTTGAAAATAATTATAATAAGGTTTACTATGTAAATTGTAGAGTTTTTCGTGTTGAATCTTGTGGTAGATTTTGTTTTATTTGATGATACTTATTTAGAGATGAAATACAAAGTGCGGCCATTCATTATTGATCATTCGATATTTCAGTTAAATTTACTATCAGTATATGAGGCAAATTTAATAGAAATCAATGACTTCTTCAAAATAATATAACATATTTGTATTCAAAAAAGTTATATTTTTCGAAAATGTTCAATTTTTATAAAAAAAAAAAACACCAAGAAATATGCAAATTTACTCAATGAATCATCATACTAGATTCAAAACACTCGAAAATGTTAATTTTCATTCAGTAGCAACTTAAAGTGTTTCTGCTTTTTTTTTTCCTCCTGAGACCATGATTTTATCAAATAAATTCGAAAATATTGTTTTTTTTTGTCGAAGTTCTACAGTGAGAAAAATCTTCCGAGAACCTTTTTTTTTAGTTTCATAAATATGATGTCATTAATATTTTAGAATTTTATGTTTTTTATAAAATAAGTATAATAACAGAAATTGAATAACTAAAGATACTTTTATCATTATTTTTTTGAAATATTCTAAATATTTTTGAATTTAATATCTTACCATTTTTAATTGAATTGAACTAAATTGAAGATCATAAATAGCAATTTTATAATCATTTAAATGTTCATTTATTGTACGCATTGATGCTTGTAATGTATCAAAAAAATGTGAATTAGCTGCAAGAATAATAACTGGTTTTTGTATTTTAGTTTTTGAAATATTATTCCAATTTAAATGTTTATTTTTAAAACCATCAGATAAATAATTTGAAATTAATTTTAAATAAGAAATTAAATCATCATTTATATTAATAATATAACCATTATCAGATATATTTATATATTTTTGAAAAAGACAATAAATATTTTTTAAATATTCAGTATTATTAGCAAATAAATATAATGTATTAGGAAAATTATTAAAACGAAATATACCTAAATAATCAAAGATTTTATCATATTTATTTTCATAAGATAGAAGAATTTGAAAAAGTTTTTGTAATCGTTGAATAGTTGGTTGTGGTCGACTATCATTATTATTATTATTATTATTATATGAATGAAGTAAAAATTCAGTTTGATTCAAATTATTTTGATTAAAAAGAGTATAATTAACTATCATTAATTCTTCTTCTTCTTCTTCTATAATAGATTCAGATCCACTAAATATTAATTGATTAGAAAGAGTATCATTTATATGACCTGCATATGTTAAAACAATCGAAAGAATAAATAAAGTTAATAAATATCGTAATCTGAAACATCTTCGTAAACGTAAAATGAACCAAAACCATAAAGCTCGCCATGATCGAACATTACTAGTCGATCGTTTCATTATTAATTATCGATTGATATGTATTATTTCTTCACTTTATTATTATTATTTTATGCTAAACATAAGAGAATAATAAATTCAATTAGATAATTGAGTTTAGAAGTGAATTGAACTTTACAGTAAAGTTAACAGTACATACAAATACTACTGTTTCATATTCATAGTATTAGTATTTTATACAAAGAAAAATAATACTTAGTAGTAAAATTAAAATGTATTCTATAGTAATAGAAAACAAAAGAATAAAAATATGTCTGCATTCACTTATTGTTAGAATATTAAATTTTAAAAACTATTGATGAGATAATAAAGAAAAAAAAAAAAAAAATTTTATTAAATCTATGATTTCAATGAGAATAGATTTAGTCAAGACCTAGATATATAACCTGCATCTTTTGGTAATTATTAAGTATCTTTATGATTTTACGGCTTCAATATTACGATTGAATATAGTCTTGATAGGATCCCGATAAATACAGAGTGAAGTAAAGACAGTATACGAACATCGCATGCGAGAATCGTAAACGAATGTCCTTATTTCACATAGATATACATATATATATATATCACTCTCTGAGTAGTTTTTTTTTTATTAACTCGTTTTGATCGCTATTACGATTTTTTGCGTCAATGTCTTTTCATCGTTCTGCTTGATATATTTACGAACATTAAGCACATATTCAATACAATCAGAATAATGAAAAAAAAAAGTCCTTCACTGAATGGTATATGGAAATAAAACGAAAAATCCTTGTTATTTGTGATAGGAAACATATTTTTAAAAACTATGATTTTCATTGAGTCGGTCAGAGATCGAAAATTTCGAATTAGTTGATATGAACAATAAGAAATCTATAAAAATAAATCCAAATTAGATGCGAGTATTTTATTTATGAGAACATAATTATTTGATTAGTAAAGAAATATACAAATTTTCAAGGTAAATCTTAAATAATTCTCATTGATCAGTACTGTTTTTTTTATTGATGATGATACTTTGCAATATTTCAAACGTATAGAACAATCTCATTCAATTGATCAATGATTGAGAATATATGAAATTATTACCAAAAAACCTCAATAAAACATAATGTTTCATCATTATTGATTGTTTTATTGGTTCCTTCTAAGAGATTTTTTCTTGGTTCATACGATTGTATACCTTTCTATCAACCATTATTAAATCACAAAAATATAATATTAATTTTGTTTGTTGTTCATGGTCTATTTTTTTCATTAATAATGTTGATACTAATTTGAATACAACTGTAGCAATAAATTCAAAGAAGTATTTCAATATCTTCTATCATCTATTTGAATCATATTATCATAAATTTTCAATGTTCATATTTACTATTTTCTTTTTTAATTTACTAAACTTCAACTGTATCAACAAATCTAATTACTTAAATAGTTGATCTTTCAAAGAATTTACTTCTCACTCATTTATATTCATTCTATAATTATTTCGTAATGCTAATGTTGAATTTGATGGAAGTACTAAACTAACAATGAAGTGAGTTTGTTCACTCTAAAACACTTTACCAATAATAAGTTTAATATATATAAATAGATTATTAAAAGTAAATGCAATAATAATAATGTTTCATCTATTATTTTTCAAAAATTTTAATATTCATAGATAAAATCAACAAAAAAAAAAAAATAACTTAAACAATCTTCTACTTCATTATCATATCACAGTAATAATATATAAAATAATTTACATCTACTACTTTTTTACAATTATTATTGAACTGTTCTGTTGTAAATAAAGATTTTTTCTATTTGTAAAATAATGACTATCACCTTCAAAACGTTGAACTTCTGCTAATTTTTCTTGTATTGATGTATACATATCATATGGTGCTGGATCATTTTTATTATTTTGACGTAAACTTGGAAAAAAATAAAATGATAATATTGTTACCATAGCTGATTGATCATAACGATGTATACTTGTTGATCCAATTATATTTTTACATTGAGTTTTTGATTTTAATGGTGCTATACAATTAATATCAAGTGCACATGTAACCCATGTTTTAAGTATAAGACGTGATAGAAAATTATCTGTTACAGCAAGAAAACCAGCTTCAGCTATATATATATTATCAAATGATGAAGATGTTTCATTAAACCATAAAAATGTTTTTTCTAAAGTAAAACATGATAAATAATGTTCAGGTAATTCACGACATGAAAAACCACGTATAAGATTATCAATAAGTAAATGATCAAATTTTGATGTTTTATAACGAATTGATGTATCACCATAAATAATAGAACCAAAACGTCGTATAGCATCCTAGAAATATGAATATTTTATGCTTTGATTTTTCTAAATATAAATATTTAACCTGAATTACGATTGGTTTCCAAGCAAAAGTACCTAAATTTCGAATATGAGGAGCTACAGATTCGATTCGAGTAAATGGAAATGGAATAATTGTACATCTTTCACAGTTTTCTTTGATCTAGAATAAATTTATAACTTATTAAGTTTTAGTTTTTTTTTTTTTGTTAGAATTGCAATTCATTAAGTTAAGAATGTATATATCGGATGATCAATAATGAATGGTTGGATTTCATCTCTAAATAAGTATTATGAAAAAAAAAAAA